CATTATTACAATATTTCTGTTACTCTACATGACGTTCTCCTGGCTCTGCTGGTTTCACTTTGCATCAGGTTTTTCTGCAACCATCCTGCTCATCATTTCTTATAGCACAATAGGATTCCACCACAATCATAGCCTACAACTTGTTTAGCCCTTCCCCAGGTGATAGACATTCCCTCAATTTCCAATTCTTTGCCACCACAAAAAAAGATGTTATAAATATTTTTGTACATGTAAGTCCTTTTTCCTTTTCTTTGATTTTTTTTTGAGATACAGACCTAGTAGTGTTATTACTAAGTAGAAGAATATGCACAGTTTGATAGTCTTTTGATCATAGTTCTAAATTGTTCTTCAGAATGGTTGGACCGGTTCACAACTCTACCAACCCAACACACAGCACAATAGTATACCTTTAATAGGCATGTTATTGAAGAGAACATATGTGGAGACTTAAAGAGTAAGTTAACATATATAATGCACTTTGCAAACACTCATATGTTTTGTGTGTGTGTGTATGTTTTCAGGGCATACTTAACACTAGGTACCTATTTAGGCTCAATATCGGGACAAAATGAAGTACTCACAATTCTCCATAAGAAACCTGTCTGATTATCAGGGTGGAATATGGTGTCTCATATGAGTTTCAGAAATCCACCAAGTTGGGGGTCTGAGTCCATGTGGGTGGGACTCTTTTGTCCTCAGATGACCTGGAAGCTGCCGAGGGATATAGGGGCTAATTAAGCCCCAGAGAAAACTGTGTTACCTTTTAGGTAAAACTAATCCCTATTGCAGGAAATTGAAGAATCCTGGTTCTAGACCAATATGTACATGCATATGTGTATGTATATATGTTATGTATTTATATATGTGTCATATATATACATATATACATATGTGTGTACATATGTTAGTGTATATACTTGGATATGCATATAAATTTCTGTGTATATTACATACAAAATATATGTATGTGCGTATGTTTATCTAGGGATATAGATATATCATTCATCAAATGAACTACTGCCATACCTTCAAGCTATAGCTCAATTATTTCTCCCCCATTCACAGACAAATTCAAAGAAAAAAACTTGTCTACATCTGTTGTCTCTCCTCCTTTCAATCATTCTTTAACCCTTGGCAATCTAGCTTGTGAACTCATCACTCAACTGAAACTGCTCTATCCAACCAAAGTTGCAAACTAAAGTGACCTCTTCCTGACAGATCTGATGGTCTTTTTTTCTTTTCATTCTTCATCTTTTTCAAATTCTCTGTGGCATCTGATACTAGTAAACATCTTCTCTTCTTGGATACTCTTGGAAACTTTTCTTGGCACTGCTCTATCTTGCTTCTACTCTGATCTATCTGACAATGCCTTTTCTGTCTTCTTTGCTGGATCATTTTCAATATCACAGTAGCTAATTGTGAGTATAACCCAGTGCTCTGTCCTAGTCGCTCTTCTCTGTTCTCTCTAAACTCTCTTACCTGGTGACCTCATCAGTTTAATTATTATCTCAATGCACATGACTCTCAATTATATTTATCCAGCCCTAGTCTCTCTCTTCAGCTCCAATCATACACTCCCAGTATCTATTGAACAGTGTTTCAAAGCGGATGTCGCACAAACATCTTAAACTCCACATGCCAAAATAGAACTCACTGTCTTTCCTCAAAATTCCACTACTCTTCTGAATTTCCCTTTTTCTGTTGAGGACGCCATCATCCTTCTAGTTACCCAGATTCACAATTTTGGCATTATCTTTGGATCTCTGATCTCCTCCATGCCATATATCAAGTAAGTTCCCTCTCACATTCATTCCATTCTATCTATTCTTGTGACTACCACCCTAGGTCAGTTACTCATCAATCCTCATCTGAATTATGATAATAGCTTTTAAATAGGTAATCCTGCCTCAAATTCCTCCCCTCTATACAGCTTCAAAAGTAATGTTTTGTTTTGGGTTTTTTTTTATTTTTTGGTGAGGCAGTTGGGGTTAAGTGGCTTGCCCAGGATCACACAGCTAGTAAGTGTTAAGTGTCTGAGGCCAGATTTGAACTCAGGTCCTCCTGACTCCAAGGCCAGAGCTCTATTCACTTCACCACCTAGCTTCCCCAGAATTATCTTAAAGTGCAAGTTGGACCATGTCCCTTCCACTCAATAAACTCCAATCCTATTGCCTCTAGGTTCAATTTTAAGTTCCTTTGGCTTTTAAAACTCTTCCTTGTCTGACTTCAAACTACTTTTCCAACAGTATTACATAGGATCCTCTTTCTACACCCCATGATCCGTCCAGACTTATCTTCTTGTTCTTCCTCACAAATCATACTAAATCACCCCCTTCTTTGCCCTTGTTCTCTTCCATGATGAGAATCCATCCCCTCCTTACCTTGGCCTCTCAGAATTCTTGTTTCTTTCAAAACTCTGTTCAAGTAATACCTTCTACATGAAGTTTTTTCCTGATGCCCTCAGCTGTTTATGCCTTTACCTTATGAAAATACACCCTTGTATTTATTTTATATGAGCCTAATGTACACCTATTTTGTACATGTTTTCTCCCCCGTTAAAATGCAAACTCCTTGAGTGCTAGGGCTGTCTAATTTTTGTCATAATTTGTCACAACACCTTGCAAGTAGTCTGATTCTCCTTAACTCTAATGTCTTCCCTCTAAAACTATCTCACCCTTATTCTGTATATATTATGTTTGTACATAGTTGTTTTCATGTTGTCTCCCCCAATATGCTAAGCTACTTGTCAGCAGAGATTAATTTTTTTCTCTTACTTTGCATCTTCAGCATCAGGCATGTAGCAGGTATTTAAATACTTATTGACTGATTTGTACATAGTAGGTACTTCATACATGTTTATTGATGGAGTGATTCGATAGAATTAAAGAACCATTGAATTCCTGAAAATTTATTGTAGACACCTGTAAACAGCATGTTATAATGGAAAGAATGTGGAACTTGTAGTCAAAAAAACTTGCATTTAAATCCCAGCTCCAATATTTTCTGGTCCATGAGTTGTTCTTGGTTTCTCTATTTGTAAAATGCAGATCATAATACTGGCACTGTCCATCTCATGAATTATTGAGATGAGTACACTTCCTCACCAATAAAGCAATGTGTAAAATGAGTCATTTTTATTATTATATCAGGCATCCTACAATAAGAACACCTTTCCTACAAGTGAAAAAAGAAAAAGCTTGTCCTCTGTCTTATGTTTCACTAAATGGTTCATGAGCATTCATCTGTTTGGACAGCTAGGAATAAACCAGGATTGTGATTGCATTTGAGCAAGATATAACTTAGGACAGGATATTCTCTCCCCTTAACATCAATACATACAGCATCAAGTCTAGAAAAATGGGTAAACACCTTCAAAAATGAAATAGATCTTTTTATTACTTTACAAATCTGAGTAGACCATGTACATGTTTGATGTTCATTGTACCGCACCATCACAAATTGCACCAAGTAACAAAATTCTTTATCACTAAAGCATCTGCATCAGGAATTCAGATTGCTTGTAATGACTAACCAGTTTTATCTTTATTTTAAAATAACCATCTTAAAGTTTTTAATATCCTGAGGTTTTATTCTTTAAATCCACAGCTGTCTCAGACAAGGAATTTAAATCAACCCATAACCATTCTGCAATGATTTTTTTTCTAGTTCACAGCCAGACAGTTAGAAACACAACAACTCAGAGAGACAAAAAAGCAAAATGTATTCACAAAGTCTCTTGCAAGTATCACTATCAGAACTTTATGTAAAAGAGGGAAATGAACAAAACTCACAGAACCATCTGAACTTTGAACAGAAAAGAAGAACCAAAAGCAGTGTTTGTCAGAAATGAAGCCAAAGCCACAAGAGAAGATGTGCAATGAATAATTTCTTTCATAGCAAACTTGGTTTTATTTCAATTTAAAGACACTTTATGGATCTTTAACCTCTCTTTTGATGACACTGACACCAAACAATCTTGAAATGTATTGCCTGCCTTGCAAAATGTGGGGAAAAGGCAAAAAGAAAAGAAGCCCTTAGGAGAACTATTAAAGTTTTCTAATGTTTTAATAAAATATACCAAGGGAATTCAATAGAAATCCAGAGTGAGATACCATGTGCTATGCAACCAGGTCCAAACTCCTATAATTACAGAGCTTCCTTGCATTCTGGTAAACATACCTTTGCTTACAGAGAAAGCAGATTGCAGGCATGTAAAGAAAAGTAGGCCACAAATTTGTAACAATCCTTTTCTCTCGATTCTAGCTATGAAATTCTTTGAGGAAGGAAGAGGGAAAATAACAAAAGGAAAAAAGTGGCCAAATCCCTGAGCTAGCAATATAGAGGTGAGAATGGGTACCAACAGCCTGAGAAGCTTGGTTAAGAATGAAATGAAAGGTATTAATTATGACCATCGTATGACTGGTAGTTTATTATGTGGCACAAACCTTATGACTTTTATAATAAAAAAACATTTCTTGTTCAGTCGTGTCCAACTCTTCATGACCCTATTTGGGGTTTTCTTGGCAAAGATACTGGAGTGGCTTGCCATTTCTTTCTCCAGCTCATTTTACAGATGATAACTGAGGCAAACAGGGTAAAATGACTTGCCCAGGGTCAGATAGCTAATAAGTGCTTGAAAACAGATTTTAACTGAGGAAGATGGATCTTCCTGATCCCGAGCCTGGTACTTTATTCACTGTGCCACCTAAGTGCTCCTAAGAAGAAACATAGATCCCTTCCATTTTTTCCTCCAAATTAGCCCTTTGCCAAGGTTTAAAACAGAACTAAGTCCAATGATGATCAGGTAACATCCAAGTATTAAATTTAATATTCATATATGCTTTGTCTCTATTTTTTATTTTTCTCACTTATTTTCATGAGTTTGCATTTGGGAAGAAGAGGTAGCTAAGGTGTATGTAGTGAATCTTTCAATGAAGCTAATGATCTGGGGAAACAGAAAGAAAAGCTAGGAATACTAAGAAAGGGTGGGGAACAATTACCTTATCAATGGATCTAGTGCCAAAGAGAATATGTATAGCCCACAAAGGATGACCTTGAAAATAGGAGTCACCTATGTGGTGTAATTTTGTAAGCACCCCCTAAAAAAAAAAAAGAAATTTGGGGTCATAAAAATCTTAGCAAATTTTCCCAAAGGCAATCTAGCATGCTTCAACCTCTTGATCAATTCTAGGCACAGTTCATTGACCTTTTGCAGCTTGTCCAAGACATAGTATGTACTGAAGGACCATTTCCGTAGGTTAAACATTCACCTCTATGGTATGAGCGATAGATATTCTTTAGCCACACTTTTGAGTGATATTTTAAGACTTGATGCAAACAGCTTCCACAAACAATGTTAACCACAAACAGAAGCACCCGAAGGACCTCACTACCTTTAAAGAATGCTCCTTCTACTTGGACTCTTCACTGGACATCATTCATAATGGTGGAAACTGGCTTTGGCCAGCACAGACCTGTTTTTGATCCTCTTCATATTTCTAAGCAGAGAAGTCATCAAGCAAAGTCATCTCTGTTACTGCTTCCTTTAAGGAATTCTCCATAATTAGAACACATGCATGGGAATCACCTCATTGGAGGAGACATTTTCTCTAACAAGTAAAAAGCTTTTCTTCTTTATAGTTAACAAAAAATAGGTACAGAGAGACCTTTTACAGTCATTTGTACAGTGTACTGTTGATTGTAAATACGTGTGTGTATATACACACATATGCGTGTGTGATCTTTTGCAGAATGTCGTTTGAAAAATCTGCCTATTTTGTTCTTCTACCTTCATCTGGGATACTCTTGGTATTTGTATTCTACAGATAGGAAATTTGAAACAGGGATACATACTTATTGATGATTTCTCAATCACCTTTCTTGATAGCAATGCCCGTAATTATATTCCAAATATTTAATAATCATTTTCCTTCATCCCATCAAACCATATACACTAGACATCTTGCCATATGACAAACTATTCCCACTATCTCTTCTGTAATAGCACCCTACAGATTATACCTTCAGAGATGACACTCCATCTCCATCCTCCATTGGAGTTAATCCATTCATATTTGGAATACTAGTTGAGGCTGAGTTATCTAGACAGGTGGAAACAGCAATTTCAAACTCAATTAAACCCATTATATCTGGCCAACCCCAACTTTACTCCACATCCTATCTATCCATCCATACCATGCATCTCTTTCCCTTTACCCTGTTGTCACATATGTAATAAAACTCCTTACTCCCTATGCCTATATGTTCCACCTCTTTTTCTGGAAATATTTATCAAATCAATGGTATATTTGCTGGAAAAAAAAATGCTGTCTAATGGCTCTCCCTAACACTGCTGTTATTCCTCAGACTAAAACTCCATTCCATGGTCACCATTCCCCAACATGTTTTGTCTTTTTCTATTAGAATGTGAGCTCCTTAAGGGCAGGATTGCTTCACTTGAAAATTCGTATTCCCAGTCCTTTCCCCAATTCCTGACAAACAGTGGTGTTTAGCTATTACTTGTTTATTCTTTTCAGATCTCTTGAAAATCAGTCCCTCAAAACTATGTGATATCTCATACAGGTACCCTCTGGATATACTTGATCTCTTATAGTTTCTTTTCCCATCTTGGGAATGTGTTTTTCACTACCTCCTCAAGGAGTACATCAGGGACTATTTTGTTAGAGTCTAAATGTGGTGACTCTTTATCACTGCTAATAAAATTAACAAAAATAATAATAACTCACAATGATATACATTTTCTTCTCACAACAGCTCTGTGAGGCAGATGCTATTACTGTGGATCAGGAAACTGGCTCAGAGAGGATAAGCAAGTGACCTTCCCAGAGTGACATGACTAGTAAGAGTCCCAGGAAGTCCTCAAATACAGTTCTTTCTAGATCAATATCCACTAGACCAATTTAAGAATTTGTCATTATAACCTTTACATATACATATATGTGTGTGTGTGCGCGTGTGTGTGTGTGTGTGTGTGTGTGTGTGTGTGTGTGTGTGTGTGTGTGATTTATCACCTGTCATCTTCCTATCATGATTTCTTTCCTAAAACGTTCTCCGGATGACTTGACTTCACCAGGTTTCTGATTAAGCTTTCTATAAAATTATTTTTTTTCCTTCCATTGTTTCTCACTGTTTAATGAAATTGTATTTTTCATAACATTCTATCGTCCTTCTTCATAGGATTTTATAAATAAGTTCACATTCTAAACCTGTATTGCCCTTGCTTCCCACATATCTCAGCTTGGTAAAAGGATCTAATGTTTTCTGGCCAAAAGGCATTCTCAGCTTTCTTTATCCCTGTATTGTTGTAATTGACTAAACCTCCCAAGAAAATGGAAATGATCTTGATCAATCTCTGCTCTTTTTATACATTCTCATTTTAAAATCGATAGTTTGTTTCACTAGGTCAGATAAGAGTAATTTTATTGTGTGCTCTATTTTCTATGTTTTTCCCCCTAATTTGTCATTAAATTTAATCTTTATTAAGAAAATTATGTAACTGTGCACAAGACAACTCATCTGGAAATGACCCCTCACCTTGGAAGCTAGTTGTTTTCTGTTGCTAAGGGTACAGTTTCATTTCTGTGGTATTGTTTTGTGCTTATTGTGTCCAGCACCACCTGACTTTCTACTTGAGAAAAAATATTCATTATTTATAGACATCATGCTGATTATTATCCAAAAATCAATACACAGCATTTGTTGTTAATTTTTTTGCTCATTTTACCCCTCTTTATACTACCTGTTTCACACTGTAGAAGTCCTTAAGCCTTCTGGATGATTTCTTGGATTGTAATTTACACATAAACCCTGACATAGCTCTCACTGATTCCAAAGATAATGTTCTGCCTAAGAACAATAATGAATTAGAACCCAAGTAAATATCATGTCTCCTTACTTGAAAATCAGATTTTAAATTATATGACATCTACATGAACACAAAGATTTTAGACATTTGAAATCATTCACTCAAATACTTGCCTATAATCCATATCCTGGCTATAGTTGAATTATTTTTTAATAAAAACTTTAAAGACATTTATTGAATAATTTCTTTGGAATTAGTGTGCACAAGCTGTCTATGATCTTGAAAATATGGTAAGAGTAAAACTCTCTTAGCAGAAAAAAAAAAAGAAAGAAAAGCTTATGATGCCCATCACAAATAGTACTTTTACAGAAACGGTGCTGCTCCACAAATATACTACTAGCAAATCTTTACATGACTGGATCCTGCAAATTTAAGAAATAATTATCAGGCACCAAATACTCAACTACTAGTCATCATGACAAATAACCTCAAAGTGTTATTTTTTTTTAATTCAGAGAAGTAAGGTAATTTTTTTTTTACCTACATCAATAACTATTGAAGAGAGAAAGGGCAAATTTCCCTTTACAATATAGAACAATGCACCCTAGAACTAATGCCACAACCTATGTATACATGGTAAAGAGAAAATTCAATCTAAACATATTTTTTAATTAAAACTATAAAAAGTGGGTTTAAAAATTAACTTGTTGGGGCAGCTGGGTGGTGCAGTGGACAGAGCGTGGGCCCTGGAGTCAGGAGGACCTGAAATCAAATTGGCCCTTAGATATTTACCAGCTGTGTGAACCTGGGCAAGTCATTTAACCCCTATTGCCTCCCCTGCCCCCAAAATAATAAACTTGTCTCTAAACAAAAAGGTGAAGATAGGAAACTAGTTTACCCTACTCATGAAGAAATAATATAATAGAAAGAATAGTGGATTTAGAGTCGGAGGACTCAGGTTCAAATCCTACCTCTTCCACTCACTACCCATGTGACCTTGGACAAGTCACTCACCCTCTTTGAGCTTCAGTTTCCTCATCTGTAAAATGAGGGTGTTAGACTAGATAGCCTTTAATGCATCTTTCATATCTAAATCTATAATCCTAAGTCACTGTCAAATATCCAACAGCACCTATAGAAAAAAAAAATCACTTTTTTTATAAAACATCCCACATTGTAAACCAAACACTACATATAAATTTTTTAAGAAGCCAACTTATTAAGCTTATCTTTGCAAATGAAATGGGGATAGATGTGAGAGAGCTCAATTTCTCATCCTGTAAAAATAAGCTAATTAGCTTCAATAATGTCCAGTTTTTTTTTTAAAAATCATTTAAACATTTTCACAAAAATATGAAGCTTTTAACAAAAGTTAGTGATTAAAAACACACACAATGTTATGACAAAACTGAACAAAACATTTCAATTAAAAAGCAAATTTGAAAAAAAATGATATTTTGATATAGAGCATGAAAGAGGGAAGGAAAAGTCTTGACAATTTCATCAAAAGGGGGCCCAGTGAGTGTATCTAGCCCACAGACTATCAGAGGGATGACTCAGGGAGGGGAAGAGGAAGGTCACAGTTGTAATACAGCTTGATGCATCATTAGGTCGAAAGCTGAGTTTCACCCACATTGCCATCAGTGTTGAGTATCAAACGGGGAGAGCTTGGCAGGGAGGGGAGGTAGTGCAGATCTCTAAGAAAAATCAGAAGAGAAGAGGAAAAGAAAATAGCATGAAGTTGAAAATCATGTTGAGAAACCTCCTTTTAAGTTCTTTGTGGAGGAGCAAAAGGAAGGTTAAACCAGAAATACACCCAAATGGGAATTTTCACAAGTGTCTAAGCATAGCCCCATCCCCCAAAAAGAAATTGGAAGAAAAAGAGGAAATTAAAAAGACAGGGTTGAATGAAAAGAGATCATATTTCCTTCTTGCTTAAAATAAAGCAACTTGTCCAAGTAAAGCAGACGGCATAGGGTTTGGAATCATAGAATCCTACCAGGGACCTAAGAGGCCATCTAGTTAAACCACTTTATTTTATTGAGAGAGAAACAGACAAAATAACTTGTCCACTGTAAGCACCAGAAGCAGGATTAGCCCAGCTCCTTTGACTCCACAACCTGTGTTCTTTCCAATAGAAATGAAAATATTTATTTTAAATTCTAGCCTATATGCACATATACATTATATATATATATATATATATATATATTCATACACACATAGACCTATAGTATCTTCTCTTATGTGTCTTCTAAGACTCACTGAAATGAAATAACCACTCTAATTTAGAAACTTGAATTTACTTATTTTTTTTAGGCAATTGGGGTTAAGTGACTTGCCCAGGGTCACACAGCTAGTAAGTGTCAAATGTTTGGTCTGAGGTCAGATTTGAACTCAGGTCCTCCTGACTCCAGGGCCGGTGCTCTATCCACTACGCCACCTAGCTGCCCCCTTGAATTTACTGATTTTAAGAGAATAATCTAGCTCTCTTATATGTTTCTAAGGGTCATCAGTTGCTTTTCATAAAAATTAACAGTTTTCCCACTAAAGAACTTTGATCTAGTTGGGGAAATCAGACAAAGTAGCATAAAGGCATCCATTCTGTCTTATTCATCAGAATTTTTAAAAAGCAATTCACTCCGTATTTTTAAATTCAGCTTTGAATTAAATTCCTATGGCTTTATATCTATTTGACTCCTAAGAAACAGATCGATTCAGTCAATTTACTGCTTTTCAACTCCATGTTTAATTATTAGTCGACAGTTTGTACTTGAGAGTAACCTTAGCCTATCATAATAAATCTAAATCTATAAAGGAGAGTATGGAGATCTTTGAAGGAAGATGAAAGGAAATTCATAGACAAAAAGAGAATACCATATTTTTAAGTGATCTTCAGGGCAGGCTAGCCTGCATGCCAGAAAGTGTTTGTGAAATATTCTGTCTAATTGTACAACCCTCCCCAACAGCTCTTTCTGTCGATGGTTAATAAGTCACAGTTATCTAATTATGGATTTGCTTTGACACTTTGCTTTTAATACTCAAAGTTCATCTTCAGTTCAAAAGACTGTTCTTTTCACACTACAGTAAATACAATTCTGCCTAGTTTCATCATGTGTGCTGTCAGACATTTTGCAACAGAGTTTTGAAATCATATCTTATGGCACTGGAACTGATTCTTCATAGTTCTATCCCTACTGTCTCCTGTCAAGTGGAACCGGCCCTGGTAACAAGAAGATTAGCAAATATGAGCTACCTCAATTTGACCTAACAGTCTTGCTGACAATTTTTCCATTACATGGGTGGATGAGATCAATTGAGTTTGGAACTATTCAATTTATTCTCTAGCAACAGTTTGGGAAACACAATAGTCACTTGGATGAAATATGAGGTCTTGTAATAATAAATCCTGGGATTAAGTACTAATTTTTAGTGCAAGTATTTCCCCTCTTCAATACCTCTCCCTAAAAAAACCTTAAGTCTTTACATTTGCAAGTCTATACTCATGAGCAGTCTTTGATGTCATTTGAAAAATTCCATTATTTCAATTATGAATTCCAGAAATAAAAGAATTACCATTCAAGTATAAAAAAGAATATTATTTCTAAATTAATTGAGATGCTAATTATTAATCTTTATTTTCACTCTTATGTATAATGCCCCCAGTTTCATTATTTCTACATGTGCTTAAACAACAGAGCAGGACAAGATATTTGAAGCTCTATGTACATTCTCATAACAAATGGTAATGACATTGTTTAATCTTGACATAGTCAGTATACCACTCTTTCTTTGATTCAAAATTAAAACTAGAGAAACATATAAGAGTAAGGCGATGAAATCCAAACATGAAATAACCTAGGTTAAGGTGTTGTCTACATGACACCAAAATATCTGGTTAGAAAGCCAAAACCTTCATGATTTTCTAAGTATTTGGTCTGCACATTGTCAAACTCTCAACTCTTTGGCAATATGCAAATAAAAGGCGGTGTGTTATAGTGGATAGAGCACCAGTCTTGGAGTCAGGAAGACCTAGGTTTGAATCTTGTCTCAGATGCTTACAAGCCATGTGACCCAAGACAAGTTACTTAAAATTTAAGTTTCTTCAACTCTAAAATGAGGAGAGTAAAACTAGATGATCTCTAAAGTCCTTTTCAGCTTTAAATCAATAACCTGTCTAGTATCTGGTTGAGAGTTCCTAACGACCATTCTATGGAAAAGAGAAGCAAGAAGACTTGGTAATAATGAGGCTGTCTCCTTTTAATGAAGAGAAGTAGTTATGCTTGGTAATGGAATTCTTCATTTGGAATTAATTCTAAATCATGATAAATTGCTTAGAGATTAATTTGACATTCTGCAAGATATCTTATTTTAGAAAAATTGCTAAATCTGAACACATGCCTTGCTACAAGAGAACCAGATCATCATGAGTTGTTATTTTTATAGTATTAGGCACTTTGCAAAAAATTTATTCACAGGTGATTTTTGGTAATGGGTAGGTTTTAGTTTAAATTTTAGCATTTTATTTTTCTATACTATGGCTTTCTAAATTGGTTTTGTTCATTTTGCAAAAACATTCTAATGTCCAAAACTTCAGATTAATCTTAGAATATTATGGTGCCATGTACATAGTAAAAAATAAATGGTTTTGATGATGATGAAAATATGCTCACTGACTTGAATTACAATTCCTACAGTATATGGAATTAAACGTGGCAAGGCAATACATCAATACATTTTCTCTATTTTATTTAAATTGAGGGAAATATTTTGCTATAAACAATGGAAGAAATCACCTCTAATCACAATTCTCAATGACTTGCATCACTAGCATTTTACGTGATCCAAACAGTAAACTTCCATACTAGTCTTCATAAGATATATAGACAAATGTCAAATATTTTAATTTCAATTTTGCAAAATATGCAAATGAAGACTGATGTTGGAGAAGTTCATTAAAATGGACTTGCTCAGGACCGCACTGAGATATAGGACCAATGTTGGCAATCTCCTATCTCACTTTGGTTTAGCATCTTAGCATATCTCATCCTATGCAAATAATGACATGAATTATCACTAAGATTCTCACCCAAACCACATCTAAATGTAAAAAGGCTATTATCACACTCTAAAACACCAGGATTTAATGTTCACATCAATCCTTACTGTATCAATTCATGGCTTCCTAAGACTTCTTGTGTTTCTTTTTTCTCCAAGTAACCAGTTTAAAATTCAAATAGGGAGAGACGTTCCATATTTAGTATATTCTCATCGATAAGAAGAAATCATGTCAAATTTGACAATTTTTTGAAATCATGTCATTGTAGAGATAACATGAAAGCATAGTCAGAGCACTGGGCTTACAGACAAGAAGGGTTTGGGTTCAAAACCTGCCTATGACATTTATTTCATTTATGACCCTGGGCTACTCATATGGATTTTATATGTCTCAAGAGATTCTCTATGAATGATTTTCTAAATCATAGACAGACTAATTGATGAAAAGAGTTCCCATGCCTGGAGTTCCCTATGATAAGGAAATCATAGATCCTAAGCATATTGATATATACACACATGCAGACATGCAGACACATATACATATAGAGAGAATGAGAGAGTATTGATTTAGAATTGGAATTTTTCTAAGTACTTAATAGACCATATATTAAGCCTCTAATATGTATGATTGGTATAAGGGAATTATAACTCAATTTTATGTGCAAATGAATTAAATCCTAAAACACTAAGGTGACTCAAACCCAAGTCACCAACTCAAAGTGCTCATCAAAAAGTTCTCATCAAAAACTACATGGCTTTGTTTTTATAAGAAGAGGATTGCTTTCATCTATGCCAATCATCATCTTCTTTTATAAATAATGAAGAAAAATATGGATAGAGAAATCATCAAGGTGAATTCACTGGTAGCAGGAACTCATTGATGAGCGAACAGCACCTTCTTTCCTACGTATAATCTTAGAGAGTTCCTAGAGCACCGAAAGGCCAAGAGACTTGCCTGGTCTACACAGCCAGTAGATGTCAGAAGCAAGACTTGAACCCAGGTCTTCTTGACTTCAGGACTAGCTCTCTATCCATTATGCCATTCTGCATCTCAGTAAGGTATAATGATAATTTGAGAGAGAAAATACTGTATTATATAAGCCATAATTATCCTTACTCTTCTACTATAATCCCTTGGCCTCCAAAGCAATCGACTAATAGTGGGTTAAAGTCCTTAGAAAGAATATCTCTGAACCTCCTTCAAAGATTATGCTAATGATTAAACACATTCTCTGCTTGTTTACTAATAAAGGCAACTTATTTTTTTCCAATGTTGCCCTTCCAGTGGACACAACTGAGACCAAAACAGATTTTAGTCATCATAAATATATTCAATCAGGTATACTCACCTGCCCAGCAAAGAGGCCACTGTTTTCTTCCAAGTATTTACTGAAAGGGTTTGGCTCATATGTCTCCTCGTCTTCTTTCCTCAATACAATTTTGGATTTTACTGAAACTGGCCGAATTACTCCAGGTTTTGTCTTCATGCATAAACAAAAACATAAAAATAAAATTATCAAAACTGAATTAATATGCTTTATAGTTGAAGTATTCAAATGTTTATCTGAGGTCAATTGTGTTCAACTTTTTTTTCTGAAATAATCTCACCAAGATAAACTGGGGAGGGGAGAGGAAAAATGAAATTGTTACAGTAGAAGTTTAAGGTTTTTTTAAATGTTACTTCTTTGATTTTTAATTTACAGAAAAAATATGATAACTTTATTATAGATATAAAAGGAATAGCAAGTTGTACATAATAGATTTGCAGTTTCAAGTTCAGGAGTTTTTAAATTCATTCACTAAATTCTAGTATCATGGCATTAAAATGCAAAGTTTTCTTTAATCAGACAAATAGTTTCCATTATCTATGCCAGTCACTATTATCATCATGCCCAAAACAATTCCTATCATGAAAACATCAGGAAATGGTATTTCATACACACAGAAACCCAGATGAGATTTTTAAAATATCAAAGAAATGATCAACAAACTTGTAAAACTATTCCAAATAGATTCAAGTTGAATAAAAGTTGGTGATATTCTTGCTGCTTAAAACTATAGTTCTTTTTGGAATATAATAAATAAGCCCTATTCTGGAAATGCTATTTTTACATAAATCAAACCCTCAGGGACTACATCTATCTCTCAGGTCTGCAAAGGACCTGGTAGGTACTGAGTCCTGAATAACAACACCTTCATAATATTTCCTTGCCTCAGTCGTAGACTGGAAAGGAGGGAAGGGGGTGTAAAAACCCTTCACACATATGCCAACTGTAGAAAGCCTGAGCAGCTCTGCAGACAGTGAACTTTAGGTGATGTAGTAGATAACGTGTTGGAATTAAAGTCAGGAAGACTAGAGTTCAAATCCTACCTCATACACTTAAGTTGTATGATACTGGATAAGTCACTTAGACTCTGTCTGCTTCACTTTGCTGATCTGTAAAAAAGGGATAATGGCATCTACCTCACAGGGCTATTGTGAGGATCAAATGAGATAACATGAACAGGTACTTTGCAAATCTATTAAAATGCTACATAAATTTACTTAGTTGTTGTTGTCATGTTGTGGTTATTATTATTCCTAGATTGAAGAGGATAGGAATTAATTTTTAAAAGGAAAAGAAATAGGAATATGCTATCTAGCCCTCTTCAAAACCTCCCTGAAGATTATAATGAAGCATAACCATTGAAGAACTCTAAGCAAGATAATGAATGGAAGACTACCTGAAGTTCCTGATACATCAATGGGGATTCTATCTACTAGGAGAGATTGCAAACTGTTTCTGACTTGCAGTTTTAGAAATTTATACTGCTAAGACCTCTAGCTAGTAAGTACCAAAGACGGAGTGAGTATCTGTGCCCCAGTCTTCCTGACTCCATGTACTATACTGTATCTACTCTGCCATGCTGCCTATAAATCTGCAATAAATTACAAACATAACAACCAGGCAAGGATCTTCAATGAGTCATAGCAGTCAGTCTTATTTTTCTTATATCATTCCTAATGTCCTCCCGTAAACATAAAATTTCAGATATTAGTTAGCAAGCGGAGGGAGAATGGAGGATTAGGGTTCATTTTAGAGGTCCATTAAATGTCCTTGAAATTAATGGATGAAGTAAAGAAAGAAAAAGAAAGAAAGACAGGAAAGAAGGAAGGAAGAAAAAAAGGAAGGAAGGAATAGACATTTTTGAAGCACTTACTACTTTTCAGGAGCTGTATTAAGTTCTGGGGATAACAGAGAGGCATCAGTGACTTACTTCACTTAGAATAATTCTGACCCTTCATAAATGATTGTCTCTTCATTCAATTAAGAGCTCAAAAGTACTTTTAGAACATCAAGCACCTAAGACCTAACCAATTCTTCATTTCTCCCCCTTCTCTCATAACATAACACATTAATATAGCACTTAAGTCTGACAAAATGCTTTTCTCATCCCTATGGGCCTCTTAAATATTACCCTTATTTTTATAGGTGAAGATTCTGGTATTCAAAGAATGACTTGCCCAACAATATATGGCTAGAAAGTGGAATAGCAAAAACAATAGAGAACAAAATTAGAGGAATAATAATCATAAAAAAGGGGGGAAAGTTGGCTCTATTTGTAGATGATATGATGATATATTTAGCAAACCTCAGAGAATCAGCAAAGAAAATGGTAGAGACAATTGAGTAATTCCTTAGGTGAAGTATTAGGGTAAAAAATAAATTCACAAACACCTTCAGCATTTCTCTATAGTAACAAAAACCTGGAAAAAATAAACATGAGAAACATCACTCAAAATAACTATAATCTATTTGAATTGGGTTTTAATCTACCTAGATACACAGAATATTAACATAAATACAATTATAAAACATGCTTTAAAAAAAAAGAATGATAAGCAACTGGAGGGATAGTCACTATAAATGTTTGGGACATGCCAATGTATTTGAAAATTAGTGTTATCTTTGTTATTGTGTTAACTACATTTCTTCTTAGTAATTCTCCCTACTTCTCAGAGGGTCAGCATATATAATAAATATTTTTAAAGAAAAAGATGAAAACAAATCAGTAAAAATCATTCAATAGATTGAAAAGGTATGAAAAATATATGATTTTCCACAAGGATTTCCCAAAGGAATGTAAATGAATGGAGTTGGGGGAAAAACAGTATCTTCTCATATCCTTCTGTGAAGCTGTGATTGTCATTTGTAATTTGGCAGCCTTTGCTTTTGATTTTTTTATAACAGTTTTTATTCTTTGCACATTATTTTTCTCATTAAATATATTGTTTTCTTGACTCTACTTACTTCACTTTGCATCAGTTCATTTGAGTATTCCCAGGCTTATCTCTGTCATCAAAACTCATCATTTCTTACAATACGGTAACATTCTAGTTAGTCAGTCAATAAACATTTATTAAATTCCTACTGTTGCCAGGCACTACAATAAGCTCTGGGGATACAAAGAAAGCCAAAAGACAGTCCCTGCTCTGAAGAAGCACAAGTCTAATTGGAGAGACAACATGAAAATTTCTGTGTACAAACAAGCTATATACAGAATAAACTGGAAATAATAGCCTGTGGGAAGGCACTAGAACTAAGGGGTATAGGGAAAGCCTTCCTATATAAAATAGGATTTGACCTGGGCCTTGAAGGAAGCCAGGAAAAGATATCAGGAGACAGGGAAGATGGAAGTATATTACCCAATGGTAGAAATTCCCAAAAACAAACAAACAAACAAATAAATAAATAAATGGAAATTTTAAAAAGAAAAAAGAAATTTCCCTGTATCTCTGATTGTAAAGTCCATTTCTCCCCATGCCCATTCCATGATCCTTCTATTTCTCACTTGACATGAAATCTCTTCTCTAAATCCCTGCCCTCCCATACTTCCTAATACTGTTTTTCCCTAGGAACTCTTATTCCCCTTTTCTTAAGGCAGGATGCAGTCCATGGAGGCATATATCTCTCAGGGGTCATATTCTTCAAAAGCAATAAATCCCCACAGATTATACCCACTGTAAATTACCCATTTCAAACTAGAGGTTGTATCTTTCTTCTCTTAGGAATGATCATCAGTAGGACAAAAGAATTGTCTGACCACAGAATTGAGGATTCTCACATTCTTTCACATAATGTTAGCCCCACACTTTGCCAGCTCAACCATTCTCCAACAGCCCATTTTCTTTCTGAGAGATTGTAGGAGTTATTTTTCCTTCATTGTTGACTAATTTGATTAGGATACATCGCATATTCTCCTCTAGCCTCTACATTCTAATTACTTTTGTATGTACCCTCCCAGTATGCAGTTTAGCTTTACAAAACCCAGTGATTAATCTGGAGTGGGAAAAGAGCAAGTTGTAAGATTTAGTGCACATGCTTTTTGTACTTTGAGAAAGAAATCACTAACTGTTTTGGTTGTTTTAACAACATATATACCTTTTCCCTTTAAGTTTATTTTTTTCTTCTTTTGTTTCAAAAGATGGAATAATTCATTTTGCTACTTGTGCTCTATGTGGTACCAGTATCTATACATTTTTTGTGTGTGTGTTTCTGTGGAGTGGGGTGTTAGCAAATTGAATAATCTGTTCCCATCTTTTTTTTCCTAGGAATGCCTTGAATATCTCTCTTTTCTAGAACATCCATTTTGTTTTGTTTTTTTCACTGATGATTTGACTCGGGTTTACAAGATATGTCATTTGGGGATGTATCTTGAGCTCTTTTTCAGAATATATTATTCTTTGACATTCACTCACTCACTGTGTTCAATTCGTTTTGAAAAACAAATAGAGAAATCTCTTTATTTTTTTCTCATTGCCAGGTATCAACGTACTCTATACTTTACTCTTTACAGATATTGAACAGAGTAAGAAATTATTTCACCAAAAGCCCATACCATAAAGCAGTGTCACAGGTTGAATGCCAGAAACCTAAAAGCTTTTCTCACTAAATTGTGGTTCCATCTTTAGGTGCTTCCTTGATCTGTAATCCTAGCCGCCTCTCACTGAACTTGGTACATCAGCCTTCTCATAAAAAGGAAAGCTAGCAGACTTTTCACCTTTAATTTCTAATCAAAATTCTGCTGTTGCTCACTTGGCTCGTTCTGGACTCCGTAGGATTCTGGCTCTCTGATTCTGGCATTGAAAAGCAACCTAATTTATGAAAGCCATGTCCATGCTAAAAATATGGGAAGTTACAGAATATTGGCCAGCAGTGGTTTCAAGAGGTCAACTAATATATCCCCATTGTGAGGCATGATTGCATGGAAATCAAACCAAATAAACTGATGCCTTTTATTAACTTTGGTCCCACATAGGGTAGGCAGAGTGTCAAAAAATCTTTACTGAATTAAACTGAATACTTAATGATCCCAGGGAAAGAAATTCCACAGTCTTCCCTTTGGCCCATTACATAGGTTAACGGGGGAAGGAGGGTGGCAGATGGAGCACATAATAGGAATTGTGAGAATATCCCAATGAAATAAATCACTCATTCAA